TAGTGATAACTGCCTCGGAAACCCAAGGAGGGGTCGCTAGGAGTCGGGGCCGACTCGATGACAAATAACAACAACAACAACAACATTCTAATGAGGGATGATGTGGTATCTCATTGTGGTTTTGATTTACATCTCTCTATAGTGCCTAAGGCATTTGACTGCTAACCTGAAGGCTGGCGTTCAAACCCACCAGCCACTCCTCAGAAGGAAGATTGGGCAATCTACTTCTGTAGTAATACCTCCTCAGACACCCAAGGAGGGGTTGCTATGAGTTGGAACCGACTCCACGGCAGTGAGTTTTTTTTTTGTTTTTTTTTTTTCCCAAATGGCTAATGAGGAGCTTGGGTGATGTCGTGGTTAAGGCATTTGACTGCTAACCCAAAGGCAGTGGTCTGAACCCACCAGCTACTCCACAGAAGAAAGATGAGGCAGTCTGCTTCTGTAAAGATTTGCAGCCTTGGAAATCCTATAGGCTTGCTATGAGTTGGATCATCTCAATGGCCTTTGTGTTTGTTTTTTCTTGGTTAATGGCTAATGGTGTTGAGCATCTTTTCAAGTGCTTGGTGGCCTTTCAAATATCCTCTTTGGTGAAATGTCTATTCAAGTCCTCTGACCCTTGAAAATTTTTTTTTTTTTATTATGATTTGAGTGAAAATTTACATACCAGTTGGTTTTCCATTCAACAGTGCACACACATTTTGCTTTGTGACATTGATGGCAAGCCCCGGCATTGCTCTCACTTCCTCCCTGTGTCTCCTGTCTCCATTCATCCTTCTCCCCTAGCCCTTCCTGCCTTCTGAGCTTTATCCCTGGGCAAGTGCTGACCTTTTGATCTCGAGTGGTTGATTGTTCCAAGGAGTGAATGCCTCCTTAGTGTTCTCATTCACCTTCTAGGCCTGTCTTTTGGTTGAATGTTGAGCCACCGGGGTGAGTTCAGTTCCAGGCTCGAAGGGTATCTAAGGGCAGTAGTCGGAAAGTTCCACCATCTCTATCAGACCAGTAAACCTGGTCTTTTTTATGATTTTGAGTTTTGTTCTACATTTTTTATACCATTCTATCCAGGACCTCCTATTTTGCCCATTTCTTTTTTCTTTTTCTTTTCTTTTATTTATTGTGATTTGGGTGAAAGTTTTCAGAGCCAATACACATTCCATACAGCAGTTCACATACTCTTTGTCTCATGACATTGACTACAATTTACCACAATGCAACAGCTCCCCTCCC